CGGGCCCACGTCGGATCGGTCAACTCGTTTTTTTTAACCAAATAACGCTATGGACGAATATGGAACCATTTAACAAGTTCAGAATTTAATGCGTTCAATTTTGCAAGTTTGGGAATTAATAGGCACCTCTACAAGTTTAGGAATTAATATTACTCCAGAATACAAGTTCAGGAATTTTTAGGGTTTTTTCCCCAAAAATAAAAATAAAAGAAATATCGATGCTACGATTCACAATGCAAGCACTATGGTCCTAAATTAAGTTAAACCAATTGAATTAACAAAACATTTAATCAACGGTTCGTTTTTATCCAAAAACCTATTTATTTATTTATTTACTTTGTTTTTATTCATACAAAGCTTTTATTTAATTATTATTTACCTTGTTTTGTTTTGACAAATTAGTGGTTCTCATTTCCGGGTCAATGCTAAATTGTACTCAAATAATTTTCTTCGTTCTTTCTACTCTTCCTAACGAGATTGAAAATCATATTAAATCTCATATAATTTCTACGATAAATGAATATTTATTCAAAAGAACAGTTCAAAATTTTATTTTCATCCACAACTTGAGAAAAAAGAAATACAAGTGGAAAAAATATTCATTTGAATGTTGAGACTTTTTTGGCAATGTTATTAGTTTCTACTGGAAAAATATTTTTAAAAAAATGCATGTCTTAATTAAACATATAAGTTTGGTGGGTCCACGTTATTTATCCCTTTCATTTTTTCCGAAATTTTCTTACAGAAATTTAAATAATATATTAGTATAATTTGTCTGTTCCTCCGATTAGTCCAAACATTAAATTACAAAAAGAAAGTTTGAAATTTTAAAATAATAAAGATAACAATAAAAAAACCTAAAAATTACTAAATTTATAATTTGGAATAATATTAATTTCTAAACTTGTAGAGGTGTCTATTAATTCCCAAACTTGCAAAATTGAACACGTTAAATCCTGAACTTGTTAAATGGTTTCATATTCGTCCATAGCGTTATTTGGTAAAAAAAAAAACGAGTTGACCGATTCGACGTGGCTCGCCACGTCACGCGCCACGTCGGATAGGTCAACTCGTTTTTTTGACCAAATAATGCTATGGACGAATATGAAACCGTTTAACAAGTTTAGATATTGTTTTTATTATTATGTTATAATTGATTTCTTTAGAAAAAGATCACCAATATAAAATTCAACGATACACATATTCTTTCACGGTTTAACTTCTTTATACAAATAATATAATGATTAAATAATTTAATTTTTCTAATATATTTTTTCTATATTAAACAAAAATATGACATTTTTTATAAACATTTATATCAATAAATTTATAAAAAAATATATTTAATATAAAAAAATAATGCGCCGGTCTTTTCCTAGTTTTAATAAATAATAAAATTCAAACGTGTAGTACTTAAGTTTTTTTATGTATTATTTTATTTAAGTAAGATTAATTTAAATAGTACAACTGATGCGAGACATTATCAAAAATACTCTTATTTTGCTATTTGTACTTCAAGACCTACCTTTGTGACTATGTGACCAAAATATAGTGTGGTCACATATTGATCTCATTGTTCATAACGTTAAATTTATGATGTTTTAATCAAATGATTAGTAAGATATACAAGGTATGAACATAATGAATTAGTGTGATCACCATAAATTTAACGTTATAATCGATAAAAATCAAAATGTGACCATACTATATTTCGATCACATTGGTCACATGTGACCAGGGTAGGTCTTGAAGTAGAAGTAGCATTTTAAAGGTATTTTTGATAATGCCCCAATTAAAAATATTTTAAAAATGATTAGTATTATATATAATAAAATGATGTCTTTTTTTTTAATTTAAACTAAATCGCAATCGTAATCGCTCTCTTTTTTTAATTTAAACTAAATCGCAATCGTAATCCTCTCAACCAGTAGTTATAAATCGCAATCAATCACAATCGCTACCAACGGCAGTTTTTCTACCCGTTAGTACCAATCACCTAAAATCACCATTTCTACCAGTTCGTACCAATCACCTAAAATCACCAACAAACGCATTGTAATCGCCCGCAATTGCCGCGATTGCGATTCCACCGGTCAACTTGGTACGGACACAGAAAGACGACAAAAGTCATATAACTTCTGGAAAAGGGAAACAGAACAACACTCGTCACAAACAAGGATACATCTCTCTCTCTCAGTCTCTCTCTCTCTCTCTCTCTCTCTCTCTCTCTCTCTCTCTCTCTCAGTGCGGCTTCTGCAGGGCGAGAACCTTGGCCCAGGCCTCCCTGGCGGTGATCTTGGCGACCCATTCACTGACCTTGGGGCGAGCCTGGAAGACCTTCTTGGAATCCGTGGCCATCAGGCAATGAACCGCAGGTAGGTGGTGGAGGTCAGCCAGTGTGAAGCAATTACAGGCCAAGTACTCGGACTCACCTAGCCGCTTCTCGTAAACGTCTAGGACTTTCCCCAGCTTCCCTTCAAGCTCTTCCGCAGCTGCAGGGTCCGTGCTCATCCCGAACATGGGCTTGTAGAATCGTTCGAAGGTCAGCTTCATGGCCACCGGTTCAAACACCCACGGCCTTGTGGCAGCCTTCACAACCTTGTTGCCAGGACAGAACAGCCGGTTGCCTTTGTCGTTGTATTCCTCGGCTATGTACTGTGTGATAGCCCTTGATTCTGCATTGACACAGCACTTGATATCTTAGCAGCGCAGGAAGTATTTTCCTCTTTTGATATGCCAAGCAATCGTTACTCTATCAGAATCTAAGGATATAAAATTAAGACTGTAAGCACAAACAAGCAGTCGAATCGATAAAGTCATCAATCAGTTATGTTCATGGACAAGATTGGTTTCACTAATCGCCGTTATAAGCGTGCAAGGAGTGACAGATCAACAACCATCGGGATACTGTCGTTCATTGCAAATCAAAAATTGGTCAGAGCATAAGATCGGGATTAGTCAAGGACTCACCGAAAAGCTTCACATCACCGTCGTCAAAAGCCGGAACTTGACCAAAAGGCTGCATTGAAACGAAGAATATCAAATTAGACACCAATTCTCGCCAAAACCTAACGCCTAGGATCGAAACCAGTTTCCAATCGCCACGAAACCAGTTTCCAATCGCCACGGAAACAGGATCTCATCTCAGATTAAGCCAAAACAGATGATCGGAGATTGCTTACGTTGCGGGAGATGTGGGGCTCTTGCTTGTGAGCGCCGGAGCTCGTATCGACGGGGACCAACTCAAACTCGAGGCCTTTCTCGTAGAGAGCAGCGAGTGCGCGCATGGTCGCCGTCGAGAGAGGGACTCCATAGAGCTTGATTGCTGCCATGATCGATCGGGAAACGAGGCAGAGGATGGATGACGAATCGAGAAGAATGTCGTTGGCGACGGAGAAATTGTGCCGAGAAAAATAAAAATGGCGCGTCTCTTTATATAGGAGGAGGTGAGCAACGTGGAATTTTATTTCTTCTAGAAAACTCTACGGATGTCCTCAATTTTAGTTTCTATTTCGGGTAAATGATCATTTTTTATTTTCCCTTGTATAATATATAATTGGATAACATTTTTTCGCCGAATATAAAAGGAAAAAAAAAAGATAATGCCGCGATAATGCTGACAAGCTAAAAATAGGGTAAATAGGCTTACTACTTGAGTTCAACCATCGTCAACATTTTTCGCATCCTATTTTTGTGCCATTTCTGTTTGTTGTGCCAAAAATTATCTAAAAAAAAAAGTGAAACGATCAATTATACAAAAACATGTAATTAGATTAAATATAACATATGGAAGCCTTTTAAGATATTCAAAGTTTATCCGATCCATAAATATCAGATGCGGTATATTTTTAATAGGTTTGTTTAAATATTCCTCCCTTTATTTTTATCTCCTCTTGTAGTTGTGACAAGTCACATCTATATAAATGCATTTCTTTTAACTATATCATCAACAGAGAAGAAAATTTATTTATTTATTTTTTGTATTATGTTTTGATGTTGTCTGATTATTAAATTTTTTTTTTATAATTTCATCCAATTATATTTTTCATATTACCAAAAAAATATAGATGAATGACTCTTTCTATATTTGGGTTTAAACCATAAATAAAAATATTCTTTATATATTCTCATATCACTGTTCCATCCAAATTTGATATTTAGATATTAAATTTTAATCCTCAAACTTGACCTATAGAAAAATTACGATTTTAATACTCGGCTTGATATAACATCTCTGAATTTTATTTTTTTTACTTTTCTTTATTCCCCAATTAGGCAATCACAGTCTAAGACTCACTTGGACATGGAAATCTGCATCATGGACACGCCCATATATACACATATATCCCTATCTACACTACGTTGCGTACGTACACATCATTAAGGGTTTAAGGATCGGCGTACTACGTAAGAAGAGAGAACACACTATAAACAGCGATGCATCAGGAAGTTAGAACACAGAAGGCGGGTTCAGGAAGTTGTGATACTCGAGCTGAGTCATCTCTCCACCATGCACCGGATCAAACTGGCATCTGTAGAAGCTGCATCATCAAACAGAGCTCCGGTCAACAACACAAACCCGACAAGGGAAGATACACAGACACATATTTTGCATATATATATATATACATATAGATGCTTTTCTTGGTTCCAGGAGACATACAAGTTTGGAGAATTTTCCCGAGACAATTTCCTTTGTGATGTTTTTTACTTACCTCCCATCCATGCCAAGAATTACAAC